CAAATTGCTCAAGAACTAAAAATAACACCCACTGCATCACTTTTCATTCGTATGTACTATAAAATATATGTTTTCATAAAAATTGTTGTTTGTTTTGAATCTTATTCGGTAGTGACGTCGAGTACTGGTCGCGTGATTGGTCGGTAGTGCAGTGACTCGGATCTCGCCGTCTCGTTCGCGCTGCCCGTTGAAACTTAACGTGCTGTTTCGTTCGGGTCGGTAATACAGTGACGCGGATCTCGCAGTCCTGTTCGCGCTGCCGTTGAAACTTAACGTGCTGTTTCGCTCGGGTCGGTAATGCAGTGACGCGGATCTCGCCGTCCCGTTCGCGCTGCCATGGATCAGTTTTTGTTTGATGCAAGTATGAGCGTACCGTATCTACCCCTTTTGTTTTAATCTAAGGTTACTAACTCGTTTTTACGTACAAGCAGATTAATTAAGCATATAACAAAGATATTCGCCGACTTACGTCAAAGTGATCTTCACAGCATCGAATAATGGTCTTTGGAGAATAATTGTCATTTCTCTTCGCAGTTTGAAACCACTTTTTTCTCAATTTTGGGTCAATTAAATTAATTCAATCAAAAGTCAAAAACAATTTATTTGGATACATTGTTGAAGTAGATGGACACATTGGCACAAAACATGAAGTTTTTTTCTGAATATTAATGGTATTGTGATGATCACCTGATGTTGATGGATAGTCCATTTTTAAATTTTTTACAAAAAAAAATCTCGAAAGTCGAAAAAATATACAAAATTATGAAAATTGAAAGCCCGCGACGAACAAGTACGACCAGTGACAGACAGGAGTGACGTCATCGGAACCATAGGTCCGTTTTCGCGCGAAAATTTAAACTGTCAATTTAAAACCGCATTTTTTCCGATAAATGTTTTAATTTTTTAATATATCTGTGGTTTATTCTACATGGAATTCTTTAAAATGAAAACAAAAATATTGCATCTTCTCTATTTAAATTTCAATCCTGTTGGTCAAAGAATATTTAAAACTTTTTAAGGTTTTGTAGTCCTGACAAGAAACCCTTACACTTTCGTCATGTCCGTCTATCCGTCCCCGGTTTTGATTGGAAACTATTAGCACTTGAGAGCTGTAATCAATAAAAAAAGACAATAAATCAATCACGCCGAAAAAATGGTAGAAAATTTTGAGAAATATTTTTTTAGGGTAGCTTCTCTACACGTGCCCTGGGGATGTTTTTTTTTCATCATCTACCCCATCGTGTGGGATATCATTTTTTTGAATTGAATTAGTGTTGGGTAGGACACGACTTCAAAAAGAGTTTGTAAGAGTAGCCTCTTTTTTGTACTGAGCCAGTACAATGTCCCACTTCAAATGAGGGGAGGCGTAATGAAGCTCTGCAATACATTTGAAGGGACGAGTACAAATATGACATTGAGGCGTACAGAAGCTCGACATTACGTTTGTGTGCACGAATAGCACCTGGAGCGTAAGTTCTGAACGCAACCCTGGGCTGCGTTCAATGCCTACGCTCTGAGTGCAACTTTTACCCTGACGTTTAAATTTTGACATAAAATGTATGAAGCTAATGTCAACTTAGATATTTGTTGCACCTAGAGCGTAGGTTTTGAACGCAACCCAGTGCGAGTGACAAGGACTAGGAAGGAGAGATAGAGATACAGATGGATAGTGCGTAGAGGACTTAAATGAAATGTCATGCCTCGCTCTCTCTCAGACTTACGAAGAGTGAGTGAGTAACGAGACGCGACTATCGCGACATTTAATGTGAAGTAGTACATTTTGAAATTTTGAGCCGCTCTTACATTTTGACGTCATGTCCGGGACAAATGTACCGCCTCTTGTAAGTCCTACTCAACACTAAATTGAATGAAACAAACTGGCTTCTTCCGTACAAAATTTGATGAAGACGAATGATTATGGATTTTGAATTTATGAATTTAAACTCAAGACCCCTGGTAGACGGTACCTTGAAAATTGATGTACAACTCACAATACTGAGATCGCCACTTAAAATTGTTTTATTTTGTATAGAAATTAAAAGTCATTAGAACGCTTATTGATTTAATTACGAAAAATTACAACTTCGTAAGTCATCATACATAGTAATCTGCAGGTAAATTACTCCAATTAGTAATGTCCTAAAAATAACAACATTAAGATGTCAGCGTTCTGTCAAGCAAGCGCCGCTTGACAGAACGCTCAACGCTGACGTTTTTCAAACGGATCAAACGGATTTTATTAAATACCAACATTTTTTTTTCTTTAAGGACTATCATCAAAAACAACATACACACATCAAAAGTGTCTAGGGATCAACATATATTTTTGCAATAACTTTTCTCCTGATTGATATTAATTAAAATTTTCTTTAAGGATTCATCAAATAAAGTGTTTTCGTTTGTCACAGTAACGATAAACCAAGTCACCTTTGCATTAATAAAGAAATTTGCCATTTTCCTAATAAAGGGATTTTTGACATTTGAACCACTAACACAAAAGTTCGAAAAAAAGACTGAAATAACAGTTTTCTCTAAAATTTTATTGGGTAACTTAAACAATTAATAATCCGTATTTCTACCGCGAACACTAACAACACAAGAACATCGGTTTGGCATACTCAAAATGAGTTCATCCAAATCACGCTGTGGAATGGCCGCCCATGTTCGTTGCAACAACAAAAAAAGGTCTTCTTGCGACTGGATACCCTCCATATTCGGCAGAGCTCTTCTCTGTAGCATATCCCATGCATGCTCAATCGGGTTCAAGTCTGGCGACTGAGCAGGCCAGGGCAGGACATTGATGTTAGCTGCGGCGAGAGTCTGTCTTACAACTCTTGCGGTGTGCGGTCGTGCATTATCATGCATTAACTGAAATAAGGGACCGATTTGCACTTGTAGAGGAACGATGACGTCTGATACAATCGTCTCAGCATAAATTTGAGCGTTGAGGTTGCCTCTGATCCAAATCAACTCAGTTCTTCCGCCGATCCAAATACCCGCCCATACCATGATGGTTCCACCACTATAAGGATGGACTTCCTGGCAGGATTTTAATCGCTGTTGGCGTCCAGGGGTTCTCCAGTGTCGTATACGTCTTGTATCCGGTCTCATACCAAAACGAGACTCATCAGAAAAGCACACGAAACGCCATTGTTCTTCTGCCCAATTTCTGTGTTCAAGAGCCCATTGATATCGAATCCTACGATTGTGCATTGCTATAGGTGGTACCCGTAGCGGTCTTCGGGAATGAAGGTTCACTTCATGCAAGCGGTTTCTGACTGTTTGGTCGCTAATTAAGTTCCCTGAAGAGTGATGAAGCCTCACGGCTAACATCATGGCGGTTATTGTTGGAGCTCTTCGAGTTAAGATTTGAATGTATCGGTCTTGTCTCCGTGTGGTGCAGCGATACCGTCCTCCATGGCGCTCAGCCACGGTACCAGTGCTTCGGTATCGTGTCCAAAGTCGACTGATAACACTCTGACTTGTATTCAGAGCTAAAGCCACAGTACGTTGCCGGGAACCAGCTTCTATCATTCCCACGGCTCTGAGCATTTCTTCCCTGCTTAAATGACGTCGCCGCTCCATAATAACGTTGGTTTTAATCAGTAGTAGGGAAACAGTAGCACTAATAATGTCTTCAATGCGTTGTATGTTTTTATAGGGAAAATATTGACAGCTGATTTTCATCTTTTACTCGAATTTGATTCACAGTTCCTGATTCAAATTATGAAATGCACCAAAAAGGATCCATATAAATTTATAAAATCATAAATTTATTACAAAGCCACATCTCAATCTCAAGAAATCCGCATAAAAATGCTTGATCCCTAGACACTTTTGATGTGTGTAGTTTCGATTAATAATACACAATTTGATTTTTATTAGTAAAGAATTTATTGATACTAAATGCGTGTTATTTATTATCAAGGTCTGTCGAATATTTAAAATACCTATATGAGTGGAATATCACATTACAATTAATCATTCGATATTCGTAATTACATAAAAAGCATTCAAATAATAAATTAAATACATTATATTGACACATATTGGGTAAGTATATAAATCCATTTATAATAGTTTTCTCCTCCTTAGTTTTGTTCCTGTGTATACTTTAAATTATTTAAGCGAATATTATTTTATTACGTACTGATTTGTTTATACAAAACTAGTTGTCTAGATTAGAAAATTTAACCAAATGTACAAAATTAATTCGTGCGTTTAGACCTTTCTATTATTGTACGATTTTATGAACAAAACAACTTAGGCCTATATTTGCCTGTTTAAGCAAATAGGAACTTCAACTCCAAAATGAATAGTTGCATGAGAATTGAGGATATCGTAATCCGCATTCCTATACCCATCTATATATAAATGTTCATATTTACCTACTTATACATATTGTCAGATTCCTGAAATGGCACTCAATAATTCTTAATTTAACTCTTAAGTTAGGTCTTCTCATATTAAATAAAGATGACAGATTTAAATGATTAATATAAGATATTACTGAAATCCGCCGTAAAATTTAACTGCAACATTTATTTTCAACGAGCAAATCAGACTTTCTGCTCAGTTTGAAGCGCCCGCACTGGTTTAAATTCCATTATTGTGTCTTATCCACATTAAATTTATATGATCTTATCATGACTGAAGAAAGCAATCAAAAAAATTTCCTTACTCATTTTTTCTCGCTGACTTTTTGTCCGACAAAAAGTCTACTGTACTGTACAGTCGATTGATTTACTTTCACTGAAAAAGAGGTACACAATTATTGCTCTTTTCGAGAAGCTTTCAGGAAAATTAATTCTCTTTTAGTGTAAAGCAAAAACCGTTCTCTCTTCTCCGTAAACTCCGTTCCTATCTCATTCACAACGGCGTTTGATTGGCGTATCTACTCAGACTTAACTGACGTTCGTTTGTTTATAAAACAATTGCAACACTGGTGCAGTCTTAGTTAATTTATTAGAGGCCTCGTGGGCAACAAGCTGATCAGGTCGCTATGGAAAGCTGCGGACCAAATCTCCCTGTCTCATATGGGTATGGCACTCTCGCAATCGTCCTTGATGCTGCGGTAGAATGCGTTGATGACCGACAAGTAGTATATGGTGTAAGCTGCAAGAAAAGGAAATAATTTAAACAAATCTTTTTTCCATAATTACATTACGGGTTGGCAGAATATTCTTCATATTCTTGACTCGATGGTGCAGTAATTACCGCCGTTCTGCGATAATCTTAGACTGTAGCCTTCCCTATGGATGGAATAGGAAGATTGGTTCATGCGGGTCGGTAGATGCTACAGACTTTTGGAGGATTCCACAAAACTGGTTCGTATTCATTATTTGTTAGGAATTCTAAATATTCTATCATTACACCAATCCATTATTTTCTAACAATATGTTATTATATATTACAAGCAGTCACAATGAAGACTCGCTGTCAACAAAGCGTGCAATGTGTAACCAACAGCCTTAGATAAATTATCTAAGCCAACAGCACAATTTTTATTGCGTTATGACCCTTTGAAGAGCACCAATGTACCGACAGCAACGGGCAGACCTTTTTGTCGTCATAAACATTCGCAACATCACGAATGTCATCACCATCATCATCATCAACCCATGTTCGTCCACTGCTGGACATAGGTCTCCCCTAATGCACGCCACTGCTCCCGATTTTGTGCAGCCATAACGCGACAAAATAAATCTTCGTGTTATGTACGATTCACTCCTACGGCACGCTCTCATGGAGCAACTATTAGTGCTATGCTACCACGACGCAGTATCCGAACGGAGCCGATCGGATCCATCGGAAGCCGATAGTAGGCTACGGAAGGCGCCGGCAGCCGAAAGCAGCCGATTGCGTGCGCGAGGAACCGAGTGGCTATCGCAGAGTCCGAGAGCAGTCAGTCGGATTCATAGCTGCTTGAATTGCATGCAAATAAGGAACTTATCTACTTTCTGTGGATGTTTCAATTACCTTCAGCAAAATGTAAAATGCGCTGCGCTGCGCTTCGACGCGGCCCGGTAGTATGGCCCCAGCATAAGAATGAGTATGGAAGAATAAAAAATTAAAAGTATGTGATACACACTTACCTACACCCGCAATCATCATGATCACTATTAGAGTGATGTTCCCTGGCGAGTCGAGAAACTGCGACCGCTTCAGTTCCGGGCTGAAGATGCAGGTGACCACCGCTATCAGGAATATGCACGCGATGAATATCATGTTGAATAATAACGAGAGCTGGAGGTAGCTCGGCCGTCGCTGCAACGAAAAGCATTTTGTCTTTTAGATTAAACCTAAACTCTTTTAAGTTTATTAGTGAAACTAGAGTCTTTATAATTATGTATTAGGATTAGGAACATTGATATTACAATGTTACAACAGCTGCAAGGCTGGGTACAGATGTACAGATGGACCAAACCCAGGGGGATTTTATTTAAGTACTTTCAATATTTAATATACCCCCCCCCCCTGACGCCAAAGCTGGCTATACGACCCCCCACCTGGCGCCAAAGCTGGATCCGCCCTTGAACAGCTGCTTACAAAGGATGGAGACACACAGCAGATGAAGCCGTCTCATATTTTTACGTTTTCAAATTGAAGAGTATGTATTGATAAGACTCGCAATGAGACAATTAAAAGGCTGGATCACTATGCTACCAGTTAATTGCAATCTATCATTTAATCAGTGCTTATCTAATAAATCAAAATCAATAATGTGGCTATCAATAAGAAAACCTATTCCGGGTGATTGAGAATTTAGATGAAACTGTATTTTTACAAGCTTTTATTTAACTTGCACAGCTCTTATGTATGTACGTTAATTATACCTATCAAATTTTGTAAACCACATTTCGACCACTTCTTGTTATCAGATTCAGCTGAAATTTGGCTTACTTAAGTAAGTTTGGTGACATAGCAATAACTTGGTACCGTGTAGCTGATCAGTAGGCCTATTCACTAACTTTGGAGGAGTGGGTGGGACGCCGGCGTGGTGGTCTCACCTCCCGCATAGTGCAGATCCTGACCGGACATGGGTGTTTCGGTCACTATCTGCACCGGGTCGCCCGCCGGGAGGAGACGCCGCGGTGCCACCACTGCGATGCTTCCGACGATACGGCCGAACACACCTTATTGGAGTGCTCGGCCTGGCAACGACTGCGCCGCGAGTTAATTGCGGCGCTAGGATGCGGAACCCTCTCGCTGCGCTTGGGGGGCAGCAGCCTCATTCTGCGAGGGCATCATCTCGCAGAAGGAAGCGGCCGAGAGGGAATGGGAGGATAAGTCTCTGTCCGCTCCCTGCCGCCGTAGAAGGACAGGAAGGCGAAAGCGAAGGCGTGACCCGCCCAGTGACCCCCCCACCTGCGGAGGTCTGCTTGAGGTCGCGCGGGGCGCGGTATTGATAACAGACGTTTCTATTTCGCGCTCCTGGTTTTTGAAATTATTGATCAGTAAATTTGTGAATTTCCTGGTGAGAAAGTGATCAGTGTACTCCTTGACACGAGACCTTCCAAACAGTGTAATTTGGGCACCGAAAAGTATTTTCGTTTTTAAACAGTGAACGTTTTTAATAGTGTTAACAGCTAAATCAATCGCGGCGCATCAGCTGTGTGTGAGTCACGTGTACGATCATGTGCATCGTCTCGGTTCACTGACCCTTGTTCATGCATAAGCCGATAGTTGTAATACGGCCTGTTATTTTGCCAAACTAAGTAAAGACGTTGTGGCGCCGTTGATATAACAGTCAACTGTTTGACCGCTTGGTCCGGAGATCAAATCACAAGAAGGAAAATTACTTTTTGTTTATTTATCTATTTTTTTTATTCTGCATTTCAAAGTTTGTGTGTATTTTAACTCTTTTTTTTTTTTTTTATAATAATAATATTATATATAAACTCGTATACATATATTTTATCAAACTAATTTCGAAATGCCAAATGATAAAATTCTTTGTGGGGGATGTCGACGTGTCATAGAAGACAGGCGGTTTCTGTCTTGCGGTGGCTGCGGTCAGCATTATGACTTGGACTGTGCCAATGTCTCGGAACAGCGTTTCTACAATACGTTGACAGGAGAACATAGGCAAGCCTGGAGATGCGTCCTATGCAAAAGTAGGCAGCCCAAATCAGACAACACAAATACTCCTGTACGTGCTGCTGCTGATGGAGTCACAGTTCAGCGGGGAGCTGCAGCAGGAAGTCCAGTGTATATGGAAATGTCCATAACTGAGCAGTCTCCCAGTGGCTCCGCTGAAAGTATAAACATTGATGTTGGTGATTTTCAAGCCTTCGTATTGGAGATGCGCTCATTTAGGCAAGAAATGCGAGATGAGTTAAGGGCTAATAGGGCAAAAATAGAACAGCTCAATGACACCGTGGTTGCCCTTTCTAGCAGAGTTACTGGGTGCGAGGATCGTATTGCGAAGATTGACGAGCGAGTAAATGAGTTGGAGAAAAGCGTTCGTCCGGAGCATGTCGATCCCACCCTATTGGCCACCGTCGAGCAATTGAAAGCGGAGTTAAATGAACGAGACCAAGAACTGCTACTAAATGACATTGAAATTTCGTCCATTCAAGAACAAAAGGGGGAGGGGTTGCTTCACATTGTCAGCGTCTTGGCGGTGAAGTTGGGTGTGAACTTGGCAGCTCAGGACATTGTGAGCGTAACGCGCGTCGGCCGTGCGCCGGAGCCAGCAGAAGCAAAAGCTGAGTCATCTGTCCCATTCGTTCCATCCCGCCCACGCCCCATCGTGGTTCGTCTAGCACGAAGAGTTGTGCGCGATGAATTGCTGCAGGCGGCGCGCGTCCGCCGCGAAGCTACCACTGAAGACACTGGGCTCCCGGGCACACCACGCCGATTCTATGTGAATGAGAGGTTGACAAAAGTCAACAGGCAGCTGTTTCGACGGGCGCGCGAGCTGGCTGACAAGTGGAACTGGAGATACGCGTGGACAAGGGATGGCCGTATCTTTGTGCGTCAAGGGAAAAGTGCCCCACGGCACCGCATACGTAATGAAGCTGATCTTGCTCGGGTTTTTGGTTTGGAGGCAGTTTGTACGGTTGATGTTAATGCTGAATAATCCCACAAGTAGTAATTTTCATCTAATCCAGTTTTGCTTAGTCATAATATTGTTTACTTGCTACTATTATTCTGCTTTGCATCTCGGCTTTAAATTCTGCTTTAATAAAATCCAAATGCAATTTCTTAATATTTATTTTTGTAAGATACGCTATACGCCTTTTTTGCTAGTTATATTGCTGTTCTACAATAAACCAATTGCTTGCGATAGAATGATTATACCAATTTCCTGCGATACCCCACTGCTTTTACACTCTAGTAATTCTGTGCTTTTTCTATCATATATATTATTTATATTGCTATACTGTAACATTGTGTGTAATATTATTTTGCTTGTAATACTAAGTATTTGTACGATTTTTGTAATTTTAATTTTGCTTTGCTATTGTTGTAATGAGATGATGATTTTTTTAAACTTTTTTCTTGAACTATTTAGCAATGAGTTGCTTTTATTGCTTTTAATATTGCTATTTCGTAACAATACTACTATGATTGTAAATAATGTTGAAAATCAAATTATGCTTGTTATGTTTGTAGATGATAGTAGTAATGATGTCATCTGTAAATTAATTTACTGTTATAGATTTTTTTGGAGGCATCATAATATTTTGATGATTATAAGGTTGTTGTATATTAATCTATTTTGTTCTAAGTTTTTTATGGTTACGTGTGCCGCAGCGATACAATATAAACGTATATATGCATATAAATATGCTTTTAATTTTGATTTTTTATGCGTTGTAAATATCACTGATTTTATTTTGGTGATTCTGGAACGGGCATTTTACTTAATCGTTAGTTTGTGCATATTTATTTTATACAATTTTACATTAGTTTATTATACCATTTTAAATACACGTGTTGTAAATGTCATTGGTTTTAGTGTGATGATACTGGAATGGACATGTTACTTAATCAATTATAATTTATGCATATTCACTTTATACAATTTTAAATTAATTCATTTTACCAATTTTATTCTTATTTTATTAATTATTTATTTATTATTCAATAACTGTTATTTATATAAGCGAAAATGACTTCCAAAACTAAATTTCTTAAGTTAGCTCTGTATAATGCAGGATCGTTATGCACGGGACATGATGATTTTCTTATTGCAATGAGCCGCTTTGAGGCTGACATCGTAGCAATAAATGAAACATGGTTACCCGCCGGTCAGGAGGCTCGAGCACCTATAGTGCCTGGCTATCGACTACGTAATACTCCGCGCCCACGTGATATGCGTGGTGGTAGGGGAGGCGGTGTGGCATTTTACGTCAAGCGGAATATGCGTGTGAGATATTTGAGGCAACCCAATAGTCAGATTGAGCAGATGTGGCTGTCGACTCAATTAAATGGTTGTCGAGTTCTTATTGGTAGATTTGTTTTTTGACGTATTGACCGAGTCCATTACAAGCTTTTCCGATCACGATTATGTCATTGTTATGGGGGATTTTAATGTCAATATGCTTAATACGGCCAGTAAGTATGTCTCAAGGGTTAATGAGTTTTTACACACTTTGGACCTTAAGCAGTTTGTAAAAGAGCCTACACATTCATCCGTTGATGCTAACACATTAATTGATCTTGTCTGCACTAACTGTGGTGCTCGTAATCTAACGGTCACAAATATTACCGGAAACTTAGGTCATTCAATGATAAATTTCAGTATCCCGTTGAAGAAAAGTAAAGTTCCGCCTCGTGTTATCACCTCTAGACCACTTAATAAGATCAATATGACAAAATTTAGTGAGGATCTTTATGCTATGGACTGGGATTCTGTTTCTGCTTTATCTAGAGTGGAGCGTATGGTTGAACGTTTTAACCTGCTTCTTTTGTCACTTTTTAACAAACACGCTCCACTGAAAACAGCTAAATTTAAAACTAACCAATCCCTACCTTGGATAACGGAAACGATAAAGCTTATGATTAATTTGCGTAATGAAGCTCATAAAACATATCGTGAGTCCAAACACGATATACACAAACAATATTATAGGGATCTCAAAACTTTGGTGTCAACAAGTATTAATAATGAGAAGCGAGCTTACTATGACCACTATATTAATTCAAATAATAGCGATAGCAAAACGTTTTGGAGAAACTTCAAGGACACAGTTCTGCCCGATACTAAGAGTGACTACCTTCCAGATTGCTTTAGTGATCCAAACGTAATCAATGAT